AGCTAACAACCACGTAAGAAGTCTGAAAACTTTATGTTTGAGAAGCCAAGGCATGTGAAAAGGGACCTTGGATAATGTGATGTCAGAAGAAGAGAAAAAGATGGGAAGGGAGCAGATCTTTAAAGTGCCAGATGAGTGAGTGAAGAAGTCATCTTTGAAGTGGAAATTCTAGCCCTATTCACTCCCGCTGGTCACATAGATCAGTGATCAAAATACCAGCTGAGGCCTTCCAAAATTTTGAATCCAAAAATTTGTTAGCAAAATTAAGTGATTATTTTAAGCCACTAGTAGTTTGTTTTGCAGCAATAGGTAACCAGAACTGGCTTCATAATCAAAACCTTATTTGGGTTTCATCCTAGCCTTGCAAACTTGGCAACACTATGGGAGTCATATAAAGTTATATAAATGGGTGTTTAATGTTCATGTTGTTCAATACTTTATAGATAAGAATGAGATCAAGATAAGTGAAGTGACTTAAAGATGTCCACACATTTGGTGACTAACAGAGCTGGAGCTAAAACCACAGATTCCTGGGTCTGGCAGACCTACTTCCATTCACTTTATAGAATATCAGATTATTCCTCAAAAAAAAATGTTCCAGAGTTTTAATGTCTTTTCCCTTCTGAGGACTTCCTGAGAAAACATGTGCAGATTTGAAAAATTACTTTTTTTTTTAAATGATGGGGGGGGCGCCTGGGTGGCGCAGTCGGTTAAGCGTCCGACTTCAGCCAGGTCACGATCTCACGGTCTGTGAGTTCGAGCCCCGCGTCAGGCTCTGGGCTGATGGCTCAGAGCCTGGAGCCTGTTTCCGATTCTGTGTCTCCCTCTCACTCTGCCCCTCCTCCGTTCATGCTCTGTCTCTCTCTGTCCCAAAAATAAATAAACGTTGAAAAAAAAAATTTAAAAAATTTAAATGATGGGAACTGAATTGGTAAAGTTATATCAACCAGTTTTACCAGTACTTCATTTTAGAGTCACTGTATTTATATTGAAATATTTAGTTATTTTGAAGCAAATCATATGTGCAGGATAATTTTGATAATTAGTGATTAATAATGTGATAAGTAATATTTAAGACGTGACTGTAGAATAAAGAAGGAATTAGTAAATTATCTGTACGGAGGCACCTATGACTTTTTGGAGTAAGGAATATAACTAGGTTTAGTGAAACATCACCAGAAGATAGATGAAAGTGGGCTTGGGGCATCCCTGACTGACAGAATGGCATATATGAAAGGCAGTCACAAGTCACTAGCTTGGTGTATTCAGAAAATTTTAAGACATTTAATATTACTATCTCATATAGTTTAAATAAGGAGAATGGCAAGGTGGGAAGAGGATGGATAATAGATGAGTAGCCTGAAAAGTTTTTAAGCAAAGGACATACAGAGTTGGGCTACACTGAGAGACCAACTTTGTGATTAGGTGGAGGAACAGGTAGGAAAAAGGCAAGAGTGGAGAACGGTACTCGACTAGGTAGGTATGAACAGACCGCATTCAAGAGATAATAAAGACCTGAAATGAGGTATGATGATGGGCTACAGAAAGAGAAAACATTTGAAAAATAAGAGGTAGAAATTACAAAGTGACGGTGACCAACCAGGGTCAGGAAAAGGAATAAGTTTAGGATGATGCCCAGACTTCTGGTTTAGAAGCTTTGCTGGATGACTGGTTTCCTGAATACTCCTAGAGAATGTAGGAAGGAAGGAAGGAAGGAAAGAAGGAAAGAAGTGAGGAAGGAAAGAAGGAAGCAAGGAAAGAAGGAATGAATGAATAAATATTTAGAAGTAGTTCAGTTTCAGATCTGATTTTTATTTATCTATGGAATAATCATATGGCTATGTTAACTATCACTCCACTCTGAAACCTTTTCTCAATTCTCATCCTCTAAATGGAGCCAAATGCTTCCTCCCTTATACCATCTCTATTTCTCTGCAAACTTCTATTTGTATCCATTAACAATTTTCATGATATATTTTAATTATATTTACATATCAATATTTCCTCGTATATTACCAGTTATTAGATATTACAGATTATGTCTCATAGTAGGTAATTTTATAAATCTCTCAGCCTTGGGCTAAAGTAATGCTACACAATAATAGCAAAGTAAATTTTTTCTGGTTTCTCCCCCTACCACTTACGTGGCTCCAACTAGAGGCCTCTAGCTATAAAAATGGGTTTCTGAAACATCTCATAAAAGGCAACCTTTTTCCATTTCCATATGGCCCAGTATGCTCCCAGCATATTTCCATATGCTCCAGGATTTTGCCAGTCATTCTATTTTCTGCCAAGTATCCCATTCATCTTTACAGCTGCTACCTAGCTACATTTTCTGGGTTACTGGGAAAGATCCACAAGACTAATTCACCTGATTCTCCCTCCACATATATCTCTTGCATTCTCTCTTGCTATCTCAGAGTAAAGGCTTCTCCTGGGAAGAGAGAGCATTATTAGGCTACAGCATATCACACTTTTGGAATATCCTGGTATAGGAGTTTGATCCTATTTGTTCACAACAGTATAAATAAAGTCCTAACACAGACAAGCTGTAGAATGTGTAAAAGTTGTATCATACATTTTTACCTCTCAAGTTCAAGTTATGGGAAATTTTTATATATCTTTTCTCAAGAGAAAGTTGTTTCAATTGTTACCTAATTAAGTCTATACCTTTAACAGCTACTTCCTATTTCCTGCGCCTATGTAGACATGAGCAAAACTAGCAGAAGCTGCTCATTTCAGAGTAGCAAGGCTCTAAGGAAGCTTTGCTCTCACGTGATATCTACACATCACGTGATATCTACAAGGTGCATTACTTAACATAGGCATTAAAGTCTTTTCATTCTTATTATGCGCCTAGTTTATAACCCACTTGGATATTCTCTCTCTCTCTCTTCATTCCATTTACATTTATGACCTGGGCTACCAACAATTAATTCCTATTTGATTACAAGATGACGCCTCTCACAAATACCCACAGTTTCACATTTGATGACAACTCATGGACCAGTCCCATTACAACAATTATTTTCAATTTACTTCAAAAAATATCATTGTACCAACCATTCCCAATCACTGGTCATTCCTCCCTTATCTCCTCTCCACACTCTGATTTTCCATCTTCAGAAGGTTGCAGGCATATTTTCTGACTTTCTTCATCCATCAATTCCCAAAGAGAATATGGAGGTGTATTTTAAGAGTTTCTTATTATTCATTGTTGTACCCTAGTTCTAATGCATGTTTAACATTAAACTAAATGCTTAACAAATCCTAAGTAAATGGCTCATCATCATGTCAGTCTAACTAGTGGGTCAGCCTGGACTAGATTCTAAAACTGGGCCATTTTCCTTGCCATGTGCCTCAAGGGCTCCACTTTTTAACCTTTGTCTTAGATGCTTTCTCTACTTTTCCTGTATCTCTGGATGCATATCATTTTCCAGTACTAAACCCTCTTCCACGTAGCAGATATGTTGCTGAATTTACCTGTCTTGACTGGATTTCTTCTTGTCTGCCCCAATCTGAATGTCTGCTTATATTCCTCCAACTATAAACAATCAGAAGTCATAATTCATCATACTGGAAGAACCCTCCTACTGTCAGGTACTTGCATGCTTTCTATTTGGCTATCCCACCACAGGAAAGTTGTCACTGTTTCGAACTTCTGTTATTTCCTCCCCATACCATGTCCTGCCTCAATTTATGCCAAATCTTGTAACAACACAGACTCTTACCCTTTGATTTTGAAAATCAGATTTTCGGATAAAAGTCTTATGATCAAACAACAATAACCTTAGAAGAAAGTTATGGACATATTTTGGGAGACAGTAATTTCCTTTGGATACAATGGGTCAGTGTTCAATCTTTTAACTTTTCCATCTCTCAGCTTCCGTAAGGGTAGTTAGTTCATGGACACACAGAAACATCATACATACACATTTTACTTCAAAGCAGAAACAAGGAATCAGTGTGACTGATTCAATGGGTCCTGACTTTGAAAAACACTGTCAATTTTCAGGGTCAAAGGATGGTCTGACTTCCTTGGGCAGTGCTGACCCTAGGCGACAGATATTAACTTCTATGACCTCTGAAATTTGAACAAAACACAAATTTATCATTGGTAAACCTTATGAAATGTTTCTCAGCAAACAATGCGGGATACACACAACAGGCTGATTTAGACGCTCCAATCTATTCCATTCTATTTTCACTTTGTTTATTGCAGTGCTCCAAATTTAGACAGATTTTCCACAAACTAAACTTAATTATTTGGTTATTGCATATGGACTAATTTTTTAATGAACTGTGAATCTGGGTAAATCAGGCAACAATAAAGCCTTTGTTTCCTTGTAAAATTAGGGAGTGATACTGCCTAAAGTGCGGTGGGGGGGGGGGGGGAGTGAAGAAACTCCAGAGGCTATGTTTGAGAAGGTTGGGCAAGGAACCAGGGATTTCTGGAGGAAGTGCCCAAGTTTACATCATGTACTTAATAAACAACTTGGGTCACTTAAGCTAACGTTTTCTACTATACTGGTTTGTTTTTTTCTTATTTTTTGTTTTCTTATTTTATTTTTCTTATTTTGTTTATAACTTCCAAAACGATAGGGGAGGATAAGATTGAGATGTAGTAGGCACCCAGAGGATTGCCTCATGTAAATCATTTCCTGTTTGCTTTTTATGTACGCCACAAAACCCAGATGGAATCATGCTGCTGCCAGAAAGGCAAGGGAGGTGGACGAGCAGCATGAGCTCTCTTGGCTCCCAAGGCTGGTGAGAGCAGCTGCACAGTAAGTGAACACCAAGCCACATCCCCCTGCCTGGAGCCCCACAAAAGAGCAAACCATCCCCTGAAACCCAGACCCTGTTGAGTTGAGAAAAGTGCCAGGAAAGGAAGGACCTGACTAGAAAACGGGGAGAAGCAGAAACGCAGCCAAGACTACATTTAAAGAAGACCAAAGTCCAAGTAAAGCAAAGACCACGACCCCCCGAGACCGAAAGCTTACCTTCCCGACACAAGTCCGAGAAACTCAGCCGCGGGGCCCCACCCAGCGCCTCTCACGTGACTGCCACGTGAAGGGCGTTGCCGGAAGAGCCAGAGCAGCGGCTCCTCACAGCTGCGCGCCTTCGGTGCCCGCCCTTCGGCCGCCTGTGACCGCGCTCCGGTGCGCCCGCACGTGGCGTTGGGTCCAAGCGATGGCAGCAGGCGCCAGGCGACCGTGACGGAGCCCCTGCAGCTGGAGCCAGCGAGGAGGAAAGTAGGTGCCCAGCTAAGGTCAGACCGTGAGCGCAACCCTGGGCCAGCCGACTCCTGGCACCTCCCCTGTGGCCATTTGGTTTAGCCCCTATCCCTGGTCTCTCTGGCCCTGCATTTAGGATAATGAGATTTGTTCCATTTTGGTGGAATGCTGCTTTAGAGAACCGGTGAGGTTTGGAGGCCCTCAAGCCTGAGATCTGTGTTAGCCTTTATTGAATGACTGCTCCGTGCCTGGCACTGTGGTGACTCGAATGTTTATTACGATTCCTTTTTCCAGTTGAAGGGACCTCAAGTGGCCTGGGGGGGAAAAAGACCTACAGGTCTTCTCTTTGCCTATAAAGAACATCTGAAATTGTTTGGGTTACTTGGGTGGCTTAGTCAGCTAAGCCTCAGACTTCAGCTCAGATCATGATCTTGTGGTTTGTGGGTTCCAGGCCAGTGTCGGTTTGGTGCTGAAGGCTCAGAGCCTGGAGCCTGCTTGGGATTCTGAGTCTCCCTCTCTCTCTGCTGGTTCCCACCTCGTGCTCTGACACACACACACACACACACACACACACACACACACACTCACTCTCTCTCTCTCTCTCTCTCTCTCTCTCAAAAATAAATAAACACTAAAATAAGTAAATAAATAAACGTTAAAATATTTTAAAATAAAATTATTTTAATTTGACAACATCACATAGGGATTCATGTATGCTTGTGGAGAAAAAATGTTTTGTTTTGAATTTTAGTACAAGTTTTTTTCGTGCAGAGTTCACAAGAAAGTATACTTCTTTTGGCTTGTTACATATTTTGAAATGAATATAGCTTTATTGAAAATGGAGGCCATTGTTACATGTTTAGATGTCAGACTTTCTTTACTTCTGGGTATATTTATGTCAGTAAAACTTAATTAGACTTGGAATAGTGTTCTAGATCCAATTTTAACTAAATGTAAAATTTCTAGAAGTATTACCGAGACACAATTATCCAACATCCAATACTAAACAAGCTGCAGCATGTGGAACTTCAGACAAATAAATAAAAAAAAAATCATCACTTATATGTTAATTTAATCTATTGTGTTTTGGCTATAATGTTAGTTAACAATAGTCATTTACGTATGACAAACCATGTGAATCAGCATTAAGCAGTCTGATCAATAGCTTGGTTACTAGTCTCAATTAATCTGAGAAGAAATATGTTTTATGTCACAGGGATGCCTTGGGTATGCCAATCAAGCTATGAGCTAGTAGATAAATGTTTATTTTAGCTGAAGTTCCTTGATGGATAACATTATCAACTCAAGAACCATTCTAGAAAAGGACATGAAGAAAAATATAAATTAATGTTTTTACTTCTCAATATATAATCTGGTTACTATGGAAACTGACAGCCTGTCCCGGAAGCAATTAATTTTTCAGAAACACATTCCCCAGTCTGGCGGTACATTATCTTTAACAATCATAGTGCCCTAATATTTAGTCATTCATTTAAAATGATTTTTTAAAAATTACCATTTCATAGTATATTTTTTCTAACCTAATATTGTTATGCTAGGTATAGAATATAATTCAGAACCCAGATGAGCTAGACAGTTCAGTGAGAAAACAAACCATTTCTTACCATAATTAAGGCTACATATAACTTAGGTAAATTAAGGAAAAATTAAGCCTTATGGCCACAAAGAGATGCCCTTCAGTGTCATGATTACCTTAAAATTAAACTTGGAGTGGGACACAGGAAAACTGACCATTCTCTTCTAGTAAATTATTTGTTTATATTACTAATCAATAATAGCAATATGACTAATGCACATATTATGTGATTCATATGAGCTACATAACAACCTTGTCATATAGTTCCAAGGTATGATGGTGATGACCTTCATTTAAAAAAAAATTAATGTTTGTTTATTTTTGAGACAGAGAGAGACAGAGCATGAGCAGGGGAGGGGCAGAGAGAGAATGGGAGACACAAGCTCCAGGCTCTGAGCTGTCAGCACAGAGTCGACGCAGGGCTTGAACTCAGTGACTGCGAGATCATACCTGAGCTGAAGTCGGATGCTTAACCAACTGAAGCACCCAGGTGCCTCACCTTCGTTTTAAAAGTAATAAAATATGGGGAACCTGGGTGGCTCAGTCAAATGAGCATCCAACTTCTGCTCAGGTCATGATCTTGTGGTTCGTGGGTTCAAGCCCCGCAACGGGCTCTGTGCTGACAGCTCAGCCTGGAGCCTGCCTGGGATTCTGTGTCTCCCTCTCTCTCTGCCCCTCCCCTGCTCACGTTCTCTCTCTCAACAATAAATAAACATTAAAAATTTTTTCTTAAAGTAATAAAATACTTAAATACTTTAAGGTATTTTACCACGAAGTAAGCCTAAATACGAAAGTGTCACAGAGATAAATTCAATCTGTTTCCTCCTTCCCCATCCCCAACTTCAGTGTATTTATTCAAGAGTGACAGAAACACAGTCTAAACACATTCTATGTGCCTGGAATTGTTTTTGACATTTTTATCTATCTGATTTAATCTTGGGGTAAAAAAGCCTTTAAAGCAATTAAATTCAAAGTATAAAATATGTGCAGGTAGTTTTTACTATTTTTCGATAATTGGTAATAGAAAGGGGCAAAATAAAAAAAAGGGAATGAAATGCCATAATAATTAATAATAAGCTTGAATTGGGACTTTATGTTACATATTGAAAAATTAAAAGTAACAACCTCACATACAATAAAGTATAGGTTATAAATAACTTGTACTTTATATTATTAAACTGTATGTATAACAAATACATATTTAATAATATAGGTCTTATTTATGTATTTAACTTGGGGCATAATTGTTATGAAGAAATATTTCATGCTGAGATATGTTTAATATCATGATTGATTTGCAAAATAAGACCATAAAGAGAACCTGTTTGCAAAAATATACATAGGAATGTTTTCAGTTTCCTCAAAGTCCTTCCTTAATCCTATGATTTTAAGATAATCTTGTTTTGAAGCACTTACACTATTGTTATTTTTGAGCTGTTTTCTTTTTCAAAATTTATCGTATCTAATGCTGAGACATCCTTCTTTTAATACCTTTGGGTTTAATTTGAATAGTTCTCAGCTTAATTTTAATCAGATTTATTTTATCCTATAATTTCGGGATCATTGGGAGAATTTCTTTGCAAATTATTTGAATGGATTTTTTTTATTACAAGTTACTCAACAACTATTGAGTTCTTACTGCAAACTATATATCTGGCACTGTTCTAGGTTCAGGAATGAAAAGCATAGTGTCCTTTAACCAGGTGAAGTATATATTTTATTTGGGGAAAGCAAATAAGAAATACATGAATTAATTAATCAGTTTACAAGACAAATTTAAATAATGATTGCTATGCAAATGTATTATGGTAATATGATAGAAATTGACTATGGGGTCACTGCTTTAGCTGCATGTTTAGGAAAGATTTATTGAGTTTACACTAAAATGATGTGAAGGGTCATAGAGGCTATTAAGAAGAGTATCTGAATGTAGAAACTAGCAGATGGAAAAGTGTTGGATGGGAGGAGTCATGGTGTTTGATGAGCAGGATAAAGATGTGTACATTGAGAGTGCAGAAGGGAGGTTGGAGAGATTAGGTTGGAGAGTGTAGGCACCTGGTTAGGTAGAATATGATTGGCCATAATAAAGAGTTTGAATTGTATGCTGATTGAAATTAAAAAAAAAGTTTTGGGGGATTTTTATAGGGAAAAGATGCAGTCTGTTTTTAAAAGGATTACTTTGGCTGATATGTAGGAGAAAATAATGGTAGCAGGAATGGTAATCAGACGACTGTTGTATTAGATTAGAAGTGAGATTATAGCAAAATGGGTAATTGTTGAAGCAGGATACATCACATGATTTGGTTATGATCATGACATAGTTGAAAAGTAGAGCAAATAGGATATAATAATAGATTATACAGAATTAAAGACATAGAAAAACTGAAGAATATTCCTAGGTTTATGGGAAGAGTAACTCACTGCCTGGTATTTTCATTTACTGAGGTGAGAAGACTTGGTTATAGGTTAAATCCAGGGCTTACTATTTCTGTTTGACAAAGTTATCTTGGACATATGTATTACACCTCCAAGCAGAGATGGTTTGCAGATAGTTGGGTATGAATGAAGAAGGCTAGAGCTATAAATATGAAATCAGTTACCAGCATGTAGATAACATGTGGATAATGGGAATAAATGATAAGAAATGATCTTCAATGACTGCTAAAATCACTGAGTGATAAGGTTGATTGATAGAGAACCTTTATAATGAATGGATAAGATCTGAAGTTGATGGGTTTTAACTGCCTAAAAAGATAGACATGATGTATCTCTTTATTTGAAATGAATAGCAACTAAAAATAAATGGTACCACCTATGAGATATTCCTGTCTAAAAATTTAACGTGAATCTCATCATATCTTTGGGTCTAATTAAGGTTACAGAAAGAACTGAGGTTGAGTACATATTGGTACCATGCGGGTGCAGTTAGCCAGTTTGGAGATGTTAGAAATTCGACAGAACCAAAGACTAGTTTCCTTAAGAAGTGAATTTGAGGGGGAAAAAGATCTGTTCTAGATTAAAAGAAATTTAAAAGAAATTGAAAAACCATGTAAAAAAAATCTCAATCCATAGGATTTATTAGGATCCTTATTTTAAAAAAGCAATTGTAAAAAGACAATTATTAAAATGGAACAGTTAAAGAGATTTTAACACTAATTGGGTACAAGAAAAATAAATAATTGTTTTATGACTATACTTAAAAACTTATGGATTATTGAAAGGAGAAATGATACATGCCTAGTTTAAAATGGTCCAGCTTTGGGTGGGCATTATAAATGAACCATGATTCATCATATATTGGTCATTATGAGGCTGGATTATAAAAATATTTATGAATATTTTATCTATGTTTGCAAATTCCCATGATAAACATGTTTATACATAAACAAATAAAAGAATAAATACATAAAATATTAAAATA